TTATTTTGTATTTAGCTTCGGATATGTTCTCCCAGCAGAATTTGTGTAAGGTTATTTTGTCCAATATTGGGTACCATATACTAAGTGGGTTATAGAATTCACATTCGTTTTGATGAGTGGTATCGTATATTGAAAATTTTTCTAACATAAATGAGTCCCAAGTCTTATGTATCCATTGGTTCACCGTAGGAGGTTTTTTGTTTTTCCAGTTTTTGGCTATTGTCGATTTGGCTGTCGTTAATAAGATGTTGATTAATTTTCTTGTTTTTTCAGGAGGTCGATCAGGTGGCCAAAGATGAAGGAGCATCAGTTCGGGAGTCAAAGGTAAGTTGTAGCTAGTTAATTTTTCAATTTGGATTGCTATCTGAGACCAAAAGTTTTTGATTAATTTACAGGACCACCAATTGTCGAGGTACGTGGCTTTTTCTCCGCAAAGTTTCCAGCAGTATGGTGTTATAGATGGGTTCATATGAGTTAGTTTGGATGGAGTTAAGTACCATCTAGTGGTCACTTTGAGATTTGTTTCTTGCAGGTTTAGAACTTTGGAGATTTTTGTTTGTGTTTGCCAAATTTCTACCAGTTTTCATCTGACAGTTGCGTTTTTAGGTCCAAGTTCCAAGTCTTTTGGTAGCTTAATGGCTGTTTTGTATGCACTTGGGTGATAATGTTGTAGATCTTAGAGATAAGGCCTTTTTTTGGAGTGGATTTGAGTAACAGTTTTTCTAGATCCGAAAGAGGTTGTTTGCTGGAAGAGATGAAATCTGTTTTATGTATCAAATTTTGCACTTGTTGGTATTAGAACCATCTGATGGTAGTTTTGTGTTTCTGTTCCAAGTCTGCTTTCGGTATTATTTTGCCTTTGTGCATCACGTCTATAATTCTGTTTAAGTTTCCTGCTCTCCAAGTTCCATAAGTTTTAGGATTTTCTGCAGGTTTGAACCATTTTTGTCTGGTAAACGTGCTTAATTGTGAGAAGTTTCTTGTGATTTTGGATTTTAGTTCATACCATGTCCTTAGTGACACTCTCATAAATGGGTTTTTAATTTTGCTGTCGACCTCTTTGAATGATTTATGCCAAAGAAGTTCCTGAAAGGTAAGATCTGAGATGGTAGATTCTTCTATCCATTTCCAGTCTAGGGTGTGATCTTCATTATATTGATGTGTTATTGTCACAAGGATAGTGGCTTTTCGGTATAGATTTAGATCGGGTACAGCTAAACTTCCTTTTTTCCTTGAAATTCTCATGTTATGAAAAGCAATTCTCGGGGATTTGAGATTCCAAATAAATTTATTTATGTCCTTTTGCCATTTTCTAATTTGTTGTTCAGTGATGTGGATGGGTAAAGTTCTAAAACAGTAAAGGTATTTTGGTAAAATGAAAGATCACAATATTGAAATTCTGTCTAGCCAGGATAATGGTTTTGTGTTCCAAGAGGTCAATAGTTGTTTAATTTCTTTATGTATTTCCATATGATTTATCTTTATTATTTTCGAGGTACCTAATGGTATTTTAATACCCAGGTATTGGAGGTTATCATCAATCCATTGCAATGAATATTTTGATTGTAGCTGAGCTTTGATATCTTCTGGTATCGTGATGGGGTAAATAATAGTTTTGGAATGGTTTACTTTTAATCCTGTTATGGAGGCGTATCTATGAAGGATTGAATTTATGATTTGAATCGATGGGTCTGGATTGGTCACATAAAGTATTATGTTGTCTGCAAAGAGACTTGTTTTAAACGCTTTGCCCTTAATTTTAATGCCTTCAAATGTAGGGTTTGATCGTAGTTCACATGCTAAAGGTTCCAGCGCAAGAACAGATAAAATCAGGGATAAGGGGCATCCTTGCCTTGTACCTTTTGATAGAGATATTTCTTCTGAAGTATCGCCGTTAATTAGCAGACTTGCTTTGGGGTTTAGGTATATGGCTTGGATAGTTTTAAGAAAGGTTGGCCCAAATTGCATATGCATAATTAAGGATTTTAAAAACTGAATTTCTAGTAAATCGAAGGCTTTTTCTATGTCTATTGCCATCAATAAGGAGTTTGAGGTTTTGTTCTGTTTGCTTTGGTGGATAATATTTATGGTCTAACGGATATTGTCGGATATGTCTCGTGATGGGATGAAACCAGATTGATCTTTGTGAATGTAGTTTGCAATGATGGTTTTCATTCGTGAGGCAATTACTGATGTAAAACGTTTGTAGTCGATGTTTAGTAGAGAAATTAAGCAATAAGATCTCGGGTCCATTTTATCTTTGTCTTTTTTGGGGATTAAAATCATGTTTGCCATTTGCCAGGTTTCTGGCATGCTTCCATTTTCTCTAATTGCATTGCATGTTTCTTGCAATGGAGCTGTAAGTGTTTTTTGGAACATTTTATAATATTCTGGAATAAAGCTATCAGGCCCAGGTGCTCTGTTGTTTTTAAGATTTTTAATTTCTTGCTCAATTTCTTGATTTGATATAGGGACTTTGAGCATTGAACTATGGTCTTCAGTTAAAGTAGGTATAGCCTCTATAGATTGTAAATAGTTTGCAATGTTTTGAGAATCTGGATATTGAGAGGTGTATAAGTTTTCATAAAACTTCTGTATTACTCGAATGATTTTTTTAGTGTCACGTTGTAATATATTTTGATGGTTTGTTTATGCTTCCAATGTATCTATCTGTTTGTTTCTTTTTGAGTTTCCAAGATAGGAGACGTATGGTTTGTTCTATTTTGCAATTGTTGAAATTTTCTTTTAAAATATCAATTGTCTCAATCATTTCTAGGTGTTTTCTCACTTCTAATAATCTTTTGTATATTTTTTGCTGCAAGTAGTTTTGTGTTTATCTTCTAAAATTTTGATGGTTTGGGGAAGTTCTTGTCTGAGTTTGTGTTTCTCTTTTCTACAGGATGCCATCAGGGATACACAATGACCTCGCATTACAGCTTTTGATGCTTCCCAGATGGTTGTAATTGGAGTGTCATCAGTGATGTTAGTTTTAAAATATTCTGTAAGTTCGTTAAGAAGTTTGTCTTTTATTTTGGGTTCATGCAATAAAAGTTTATTGAGTCTCCAATTTTGTTTCTTTGGGCATTTGTTTTTGTCTTCAATCATACATTGAACAGGGGCATGGTCTGATCATTTTTGTAGTCCTATGGTGGTGGTATGAATTCTTGTTAGTAATTGTTTGGAGACCAATAAATAATCTATTCTTGTGTGTATTCTGTGCCTCTGTGAGGAAAAGGTGTAATCTCTTTCTGTGCTATGTTGCAGTCTCCATATGTCATGCAAATCATATTTTTGTAAAATCAATTTGAGTTGATTTGGTGGTGTGGGCTGGTTTTCGCCCTTCTTGATTGGTTTTTTGGAGGATGATTTGTCTAGGTAGATATCCATTAGATAATTCATGTCGCCTCCTAGCAGAATTGGACCTGTATGAAATTTATGTAATTTATTATGGGTTTCATATAAAAATTTGCATTGATTTTTGTTGGGAGCATATATGGAAGTTATAGTTATGAGTGATTCATTAAGGTAACCATTAATAAAAATATATCGACCTTGGTCATCTTTTTCTCAATTTTCTAATTTGAAATTGGTGGAGGATGCAACTAAAATAGCCACTCCTTTGTATTTTGAGGATCCATATGCTAGGTATTGTGTTGTAAACCAGTTAAGTGGTAAGACCTTTCCCCCTTTTTTGATATAGGTTTCTTGTAGTAGTGCAATATTAATTTTTTGATGTTGAAGGTCTTTGGCTATGCGTTTGGCCTTAATTTTATTGTTGACACCTCTACAGTTTAAAGTTATTACCTTTACATCATCCATTTTGTGTGATTTGTTTGTTGAATGAAGAATTTCGAAGTATTGAACTTTATGTAGGTTTTTTTGCTTCTCTGATAAATGGACATTATAATCACTTTACAACATTTGGTTGCTATCCATAATATCCAATAAAATATTTTTAACACCTGCCATCCAGTATACAATTCTATCTCTCCATATTGTCTTATAGTCTAACAACCACAACCCTAAATCGTCAGCGATCAGTGGCGAGGTGAAGGGGATGGGTGAGGTGAGGCTCTGTGTGCATGCTTTGTCTTTTCTTGGATTTTTTAATGGCAGCACCAACTCATTGAAACAGTGGTCAATTTTTCCGTCTGTTGAAGAGTGGATGGGGTTCATACCAAACCTACTGATGGGGCCCTCATTCTTTTCTCTAAGGCAGGCCGCATATCCCATATTGGATATGGGGCCCCAAAGCCTTTTTCCACAATGCAACTTTGAGTCTGACCACTCTGCCTTCCCTAGCCTTCGGTGTGAGGCGATGGCAGGCCGGGCATGAGGCGGTATTGTGCCCTTCAACCAAACATAATAGGCACAATTTGTGCTCATCATTTTGAGCCATTTTGGTTCTGCATGCCTCACATTTTTTGAAAAGTGCCATCCTACCCATCATCCTTCTCAGTTTGATGAAAATCCTTTGTGAAGTAAAACAGCTCACTAAGGAACATCCTTTCCTTATGGCAGCAAGAAGAGAACTGAGGGAAGAGTGCTCGCCCCTTCCTTGTCATGTGACCTTTTGGGTGGGAAAAGCTATGCTGAAGACAGAGGGGAGGGGGAGCACTCTTGGGCTCTAGAAACTTCTCTATAAAGCTTGCTAGCTCCTCTCTGTGGCCAGCCTGCAAAAGCACAGTCCTCTTCTAGGACTACACAGAAGCCACAAAGATGAAAACAATTGTAACAAAGGGAAATGAAACTGGAATATTAAGGCTGCTGGGGAAATGCCTCTACTGCAATTGGCTCACTAACAGTTGGGTTTTTAAGTGGAAGAGGGTTAAAATGAGTCTGCAATAGACCTGAAATTTTAGGAGCATGAATATCATTGAAACGTAACATTTAAAAAACATTGAGACAAAACCACAGTTTATACTGGATTATTCCAAACATTTTAAATATTAGTATAAGCACCATCATGTGGAATTAGTAGGAAAAAACCTGTACTTTACCTGAAACATGCCAGGTTCTGTTGCTGAGGAAAAATTTAAACTTTTTGACAAATGTTCCTCAGGATCATATTTTTTTAAATAGCCTTTAATCATTACAGTCTTTGCAGTTCCTTGTTCACCAATGAGCAACACTGCCTGCAATATTTTATTACCATTACTATCATGTAGTCATATGGTATGACAAAGCTATATCACTTACCAGTCTACATGTGGCTACCCTAGTGTATATTCTGATATATATGCATTCAAATATTATTAAAATTTCAGCCCCTGCACAAAGTCTTTAGTGGGAAACTATAAACTCATGCTGTTTAGAAAGGAAACATCTAGGACTGATAGTACTGACCCCTTTACCGTTATTTACTTATATCATTGCCAACAATCCTTTTAAATGATAATTGCCAGACCAGATCATTATCCATCCAGGACAGGATTCAAGCATTTTAAGTTAAGAATCATGGGTGCTTAACAAGAATTTCTACTTGATCAAGTTCACTTTTCCAAGTCTCATAAGAAAAACTTCTTATCCAACTTAGAAATATAGAGACAAAGTTCTAAAAGTTGTCAAGTGGTGGTCAATTTTGTGGAGGTGGTGCTCATTTGAGGAACATAAAAAAAACTGGGATAACTCAGGTGTGCTGGTACAGAAAGGTATCACCTTATGTCCCTTTGCCCAGAATTCATGCACTTACTTTGTGTTGTTTTGCTATGGTATCTATCAAAAACTGTGTCCTAACATTATCAACATTTGGAACCAGAATAGATGAATACTCAGGAATACTGTCTGTTGGATAAACATATTCCTGAACTTTTTTATTCCAGTGCTCCCAGTCTCCTAAAAGGAACAAAATAATGGTAGGAGAGCCCAAATCATTATTCTTCTCCAACAAGTATCTCCACTAATCTAAGTATTTAGGAAATATCATAAAACTTGCTGTACTTATATAAAAGGCCTTGATGAAATCAAGAAATCGGACGACAGACCAAGGAATCAAAAATACAGACCGGCAGAGTCAGAATTACAGGAAGACAAAAACACTGAGAATGCAGTCACTGAACAATGCATTGTAATGCATTATCTCCCACACCGCCACTGAGTGTGACTATAAAGGAGAATGGCAAGAGATAAGAGAAGAAATGGGGCACTGCGCTCCCTAGACCTGCTTCTTCTTGGAGCTATGCCTCATGAGCAAAATCCAGACATGAATGATCAGGGGTAGGCATCTACCTGAGCTGAAAATATACCTGAAACATACCTTATTGGTATATTTTGGGTATATTTCGGCATCCGAAAGGTATCTGGGATTTTTTGGGGAAACTGAAAAAAATCCTGGATATATTCAGGAAGATCAGGAAAGCCCAAAAAACAGCTGAGAGGTGGGAGCAGATTTTTCCTGCTGCTCAGCTGTTTTTCTGGTTTTTTTCTGCAGTCCCTTTAAACAGGGCACATTTAAAAGAACTGCAAAAACAGCTGTTGTTAACTCCTTTATTATCTGTATGCCAACTTGCTGCTGTTTACATGACTCTAATCAGCTCTTCCTGGCAACTAACCCCCCCCCACCTGCATGTAATATTTGAGGAAATCTGTTTCAATGTATGTGAAGAAGTGTGCTCACGTTGAGTCTTTTTTCTTGCATGTACACATGTTTGAGCTTGGTTTGTCTTGGGGGTGCCACTGGACTCTAGCTTAATTCTCACATCTCTTTGTTAACTCTTGTATTTACATGCTAATTTGCTGCCATCTGTTGATCTTACCAGCCACCTGATCCAGTTTCAGCTCTGCATATGCATCTTGGCTCTCAATGCCCCCCCCAACAGCTGGCCCCCCACCCTCTTTTTTCCTGTAAGTAGCCCTTGAGGAGAGTTTATTCCAATTTGTCTGAAGAAGTGTGCTTTGCACATGAAAGCTTACCCTTTGAGTAAAACTTTGTTGGTCTTAAAGATGCCACTGTACTCAAATTGCTTCAGACCAACGTGGCTACCCATCTGAATTTTATTACTGATAATGAAAACTTAAGCCTGTTAATACACCGACATTTCTTTGGACATTCCAATAGGATCAACAAAACATATTTCAATATAAATGTGTCTAGGAACATGATGAAAAGATGTCCCAATAGTAGAAATTAAGTATATATTCTTAAGTAATAAGAAGAATCATATTGCTTTTTGACTTACCACAGTCATTGACAAAAAACTCATACATTGTTTGTGTAGTGCCTTTAGGGATTTCTGGCAAATTTAGTTTGCTTTCATGGCTTCTAAGAAAGGCTTCCAACTTATCCCTGCTTTCCAGTTCTAGAAGGCAGCCTAAACTCCACATCAGGCCAAAGACGAATAGTTTATGAAGATGTCCCAAACATGATATACCTCCTTCTTCCTTTGAAGGTATCAATCCTTCCAAAAGGTTAATGGACTGGGAAGATTTTTAGAAGGAAAAAAAACACATAAGATTTATTTTGCTTAATAAAATCTCAATGTGGTATTCAGTGAAATCAAAGGCTGGTGAACTTAATGCATTCTTCCTCTACAAAATAATGTCAGTTTTAGATCAAAGATATCTAATATTGTTAAGAAAGCAAGATTACTGTGTTTGTTTCTAAGGGCTGAGACACCAATACCATGATATACCTGCATAATATAGTTACATTCCAGGAGCTCCATTTTGGGGGTTAGGCTTAGTTTCATGTATGTATATGCTTCTTCAAACACTTTATCATATAAGCCTAACAGCACATCAGCTTCTTGTGGAGTACGTGTCTTTAGCCAACCCTATAGATAGGCAGAAATCAGTAGCATAAAAAATCCAATAATTGTAATTAAAAATTTTAAAAGAACAGCCCTCACTATTAAGTGTACCTGCAATATTGGCCTCCAGCTTAAGGCCGAAGAACTGATATACACCATACCCATCCTAGAAACTGTAGCAGGAGAAGCATTTTCAATGTTATGAACTTCAAAAAGCAGCTTGCAAGTGGGAGACATGGGAATCCGATCACCATTTGCTAGAGTGAGAGTCTTATTATCATCCAACACTGAATTCAGATTTTCAATCCAAATGGCATCCACAGGGCCATCTAGAACTAGGAAAATATTCTCTCCTGGAAATAAAGAGTGATTACACAGTGAGTATAAAATGGTAAAATGGACAAATAAATGAAAACATGTTATCGGGCAGTTCAGCAGGCAAGGGAGAGAGAAGGCAGCTCCTGACATCAAGCTTGCCCGGCCAGCTGTCACATGGCCTCTCCCCTCTTGGATTCCATTAGCAGCCAGCAGATGAAGCAACTGAGAAGGAGACAGTGCAGCCCTTTCCATTGGCCTTGTTAATCTGTGTTTTTTATCATCCCAGTGGGTAACACTTAACCAGTAAGAAGGCTGACTAAATAGTTTAACCAAAACAAATTAAACCTATTTATTATACCAGAGTTTGGTTTGCACTGTGGAAGGGAGATGCTGCTTATGGAATAAAGTGCATACAAGGCTGTTGCTTTAGAAAAGAAAAAGAAGTCCTTTATTGTAAAGGAACTAAATGCTTTGATAGGAAAGGGGAAATAGGCATTCTATTGATGTTAGTATGCAGAGAGATTACAGAGAGCACGTTTTATTCTCGTGGCAGCTAGAGAGAGAAGCAGGAAGACAAGAAGTTAGTCAGAAGGAAGGAACCCTTCAGAGTAGCATTCTGGGTAAACAAAGGGAGAGCAGAGAAGCAGACAAAGGGAAGGATACAGAAACTGACCTATCTAGTCTTGCTACCCCTACTGTCCCCCCTCTAATGCCATGGTGAACTCTGTACCCGCTTCTAGCCTGCTATATCTGCAGTGCTCAAGAACAGCAGATAGGAACCTTTAGGGCAGCAGCACTTGTAACGTCTGTGAAACTGCCATGATGGCACAAGGAATAAGGCGCCCGGGTTTGCCTTCTGAAGTTCCCCTGCCCTTTAGATGTGTGGTGAAATGGTTAACGTATTGAACTAAGATCTGGGAGACTCAGGTTTGGGGGGGGGAAAACCCTGCCATAGAAGCTCGCTGGGTGACCTTGAGCCAGTTATTCTCTCTGCCTAACCTACCTCACAGAGTGGCTGTCATAAGGATAAAGGAACGGTGGTGAAAATGATGTTGCAACTGCTTTGGGTCCCGATTGAGGATCAAATCAGGATATAAATAAATATAAACATTTTGTGACTCAATAGGGATCTGGACCCGAGTTTCCCACCGTCTCATTTCAGTGTGCTATCTGTTGCACCACAGAGTGCTTCTATGTGTATTTGGTTTTCTCTGTGTTTTACTGTCTCCTGCACCCTTCTGTCTCAAGAGACTGTTTTTCTTTGTCTGCCTCCGTGTCCTAATTTCCCTGATCTTTACATATGTACAAAATCACTACTTTGATTTCCATTCAGTAATTCCTTCATGGTGTGTCAACAGGTTCAACCCCCAGTTAGAAACCGACGTAATGCTGGATGAGGTGAGTGACACTATCCTGGTGAACCTGCTGTGGGAGACTCAGCTCTACATTTACCAACACTGGGATGAAATCAAGCAGTTAGTAGGACAGTTCCTAATTCCCTGACGTTTTGCAAGACTTGGTGGTGCCAGTGCTGCGTCTCGACAGAGGGGATTTAGACTACCAACCAGAAGTAGCAGACCCTTCACTTTCAATATATTAAGATGCAATGAAAATAATAAGAAAATGAAATTACTAAACAAATAAAAGAGACATGTATGCCATCTTAAAAGCTAATTTCAAAGCAATTAAATGCTTTGCATTGGTTTTATAGATTAACAGGCCCGCCCAGTTTAGTAGCTATCTGCTTCACTCTCAGCAACTGGCCATTCAACAAAAGAGGGAGGAGGAAACTGAAACGTCCTTTCCACTGGCCTGCTTTTGCCAATTTGTAAATAATATTTGTTTGTTACTCACCATGGGGTTTTTTTTAAAGAAACAAAGAAAGGTTTTTTTTCATTAACATGTCCACAAACAGAAGACAGGTAACCAAACTGAGACTTTATTTCAGTGGAATTCAGTGAATTTAGTATTTCAAATACACAATTAGAGGACGCATATGGTACAAGATTCTAATCCTTCCATCTCCCGGACATGTTCATTTTGTACATAACAGCATTTTTATATAGTGCAGCTTTCAAATATGTATTCACTCATCTATTGCCCTATGTGACATAGGCCAGCTAAAGCAACATCACAGAAGTATTCTCACTGTGTGTTTAGGCTCTTAATTGCTCTAGATTGCACACACAGGACACATCACTTTAAACCATATTAAAACCAACAAATCCCAAATCTATATAACTGTATGCTATAGTCCAGCTAGTAATACTTACTTTCCAACAGCACTTTACAATTTATTAGAACTAAAGTTACAAGTATTTTATATTCAGGGTATGTCTCCTTTACAAGAGAGAGAAGTTAATAATCTGCAAACAGTAAATCTATTTCAGCAGACTAACAATATTCTGTAATTATATGCTGTATAATACACTCTATTTGGCACACCTTTTTTAGCTTTTAGAGTTTTTCTCCACAGTGTGGAAAAGATTCCATCTGTCCAATCATTAGTTGCTGTATCCAGTTTGCCAAACATCTGAGGTGCGGTAATAGCTTTGGGGTTCATTCGCATTTCTCTATGAGGATATCCGCATTCCGTCATTGCCCTCATCAGCATAGTTATCACAGCCGTTTTTCCAGATCCACTGGGTCCAAGGGTCATCAGTCCATGGCGCACTTTGGAAGTTTCATACAACTAAAGGGAGACAGGGGTTGGAACAGTTCAATAGCCATTGGATTTATTAGTCTTCCTATAGTGGGAATTACACTACATATGCACACTACAAGGTACAGAACATTACACCTGGACTTTTTCCCCTCTAGAGACAATTATATCTCATGGTTCTAATGACTAGACAGTATGGAAAAGGTTTAGAGCTAGACTCCTTCTTGAGAGAGAGTTAGGAAAGCTAAAGCTCAATATCAACTTAGGCTAGCGAGAGATGCTAAAAACAACAAAAAAGGGTTCTTTTCTTGTGTTCAAATTAAGAAAAAGTAAGTAAGAAAAAGAGCAAGGACATGATAGGCTCATTGCAAGGACACAAAAGTGAAATTGTAACAGGTGATGAAGAGAGGGTAGAACTGCTCGATTCCTACTTTTCCTCAGTCTTCTCTTGTGAGGGAAATGGTGCTCAACATGGCAGAAACAAAACACATGATGAGGGAAGGGAATTGCAGCCTAGGATCGGCATAGGGGTAGTACATAAACACCTAGTTTCTTTAAATCAAATGAAGTCCTTGTGGCCAGATGAACTGCATCTAAGGGTACTAAAAGAACTTGTGGATAGAATTTCTGAGCCTCTGTCCATTATTTTTTAGAATTCTTGGAGAACAGGTGAGGTGCCAAAAGACTGGAAATGGGCATATGTTGTCCCCATCTTCAAGGGGGAAAGGGAGGATCTGGGTAACCACTGACCCCTCAGCCTGGTGTCTTGACTTGCAAAAGTTTTAGAACAAATCATCAGACAGTTGGTCCTTGAGCACTTAGAGCTGTGATTACTAAGAGCCAGCATGGATTTCTCAAGAACAAGTCAAGTTAGACTAACCTTATCTCATTTTTTCAAGAAAGTTACTACCTTGCTGTACTAGGGGAATGCTGTAGAAATAGTTTATCTTGATTTCAGCAAGGCTTTTGATAAGGTTCCACATAATATTCTTGTTAACAAATTGGTAAACTGTGGTTTGGATCATATTACTCTTAGGTGGATCTGTAACTGGTTGACAGATCACACCCAAAGAGTGCTTGTTAATGGTTCCTCATCCTCTTGGAGAGGAGTGACTAGTAAAGTGCCTCACGGATCTGTCCTGTGACCTGTTTTGTTCAACATCTTTATGATTTGGATGAAGGAATAGAGGGAATGCTTATTAAATTTGGATGATACTAAATTGGGAAGGGTAGCAAATATGGTAGAAGTCAGGATATAGGATGATCTTGACAGGGTGGAAAACTGGGCTAAAACAAATAAAATGAATTTCAATGGGGATAAAATAAAAATCAAATGCATAATTATAGGATGATGGAGACTTGTCTTGGCAGTAGTATATGTGAAAAGGACCTGGGGGTCTTAGTAGACCATACACTGAACATGAGTCAGCAGTGTGATGTGGTAGCTAAAAAGGCAAATGCAATTTGGGCTGTATCAACAGAAGTATAGTGTCCAGATTACACAAAGTGATTGTATCACTTTAACGTGCTCTGGTTAAACCTCACCTAGAGTATTGTGTTCAGTTTTGGGCACCACAATTCAAGAAGGATATAGACAAGCTGGAACATGTCCAGAGGAGGGCAATGAAGATGGTGAGGGGTCTGGAGACCAAGTCTTATGAGAAAAGGCTGAAGGAGCTGGGTATGTTTAGCCTGGAGAGGAGATGACTGAGAGGTGATATGATAACCATCTTCAAGTACTTGAAAGGCTGCCATATACTTAATGGGTCTCTGACCGTAATAAAATGAATGAATGGGCTGCCATATAGAGGACAGTACGGAGTTGTTTTCTGTTGCCCCAGAAGGTTGGACCAGAACCAACAGGTTGAAATTAAATCAAAAGTTTTTGGCTAAACTTTAGGAAGAACTTCCTGACAGTTAGAGCAGTTTCCTCAGTGGAACAGGCTTCCTCAGGAGGTGGTGGGCTCTCCTTCTTTTGAGGTTTTTAAACAGACACTAGATGGACATCTGATAGCAATGCCAATTCTGTGAACTTAGGCAGATCATGAGAGAGATGGCAGGAAGGGCTGCATCATTGCTTACTTGCTTAGTTCTTGTGGACCTTTCATACACACCCAGGGAAATGCTGATCTCCACTTTGGGGTCAGGAAGCAATTTTTCTCCAGGCCAGTTTGGCTGGGGATCCTGGAGATTTTCTGTCATCTTCTGGGCAGGGGGTTGGACTAGATGACCCTGGAGGTCCCTTCCAACTGTATGATTCTGTGATTCACTTAAAAGTGTAAAATTTTACTAATTGGCTTAGTTTATGTTCTATTTCCTTCTTCAAACTCTAAGATGTATGATGCTGTACCTGTACAAGCTTAAGATTCCAAGGTGGATGATTAATCAGCCCTGCCTCTTCAACCTGATTTGCAACAGCTGCTTGAAGTTCAACATATGTATTGCTGTCCAGCACTAACCCGGGAAAGAGGTCATTAATAAGACTTAGAAATAGGGGTTCATCTTCATCCACCTAAAAATAAAAATATGCTTTATAATATGATGAAATGTGTCTTATTGAAAAAAACCCTACTAATATAATTTCATTCCCAGATGTAACAACTGCCCATTTATGTAGATGGATGTTTCCATGCAAGGCAGAGCACACTCAGAACAGACAATATAATTGATCTCTGAATGTAGCTTCCTTTGTTTGCATTTGTCCAGATGAAGAGTCCACCTTTTTACTGGATTTCATAATACCCTTGCCTTTCTATAGAGTCATCATGTTGACAAAAACATTAGGAAAAGGGATTTTGCCCTGTGGAAGGCTATAGCTCACTAATTTTTTGCTGCATTAGCCAAAGCTAGATATGGAAGTGTATATTGTGAGCCTCACTCTCGATACTTAACAGCCTGCACAGCCTGCCTCTATCTGGAACCAGCAACTTATAACAAAAGGCTTTTAAGGCTACATTCTACACAGAGGGACAACATAAATACCTGATGACACAAATCTATTGATTGTGAAACTGCATGGTTTGCATTGAAAAGGCTTCTTAACTGTCACGATATCCATGCCGTTTAAAGGTAGTGGCACAGACTCAAAGCAAAATCTAAAAACAAAACCTATGTAAAACCTTTTATTAGGACAAACCAAAATAACATCTATGCAAGCTCTCAAGCTCTCCAGAACTCTTATTCAGATTAGATGTTAAAGGTGGGAGGTCATGATCTTAAGGCCCTATATTGTAAGCATCCTCTGTGAAAACAGATATGCAGATTTAAAATGGTGATGGTGTCAGGTTCCACCCGTGGTCTTCTGAGAGGAAGAAGCAAAAAATAGAGGAAAATGGAAGCCTCCCACTGAGAGCACAAAAGCCAGCAGCTGATCAAATGTCTCTCGAACACCAGGCGGAGCACACAGATTTGATTCTTACAAGTTTAGACAGATTCATATCCCTCAGCCCTCTCATGACTGTACTCAGTTCACTGTCATCTGGTCTGGCTCTCTTCTGAGCTCCAAGAGTTCTCAACACTGAGAGGATATTCCTCAAGCCAAAGTCATAATGAACCTAAAAAAGAAAACCAAAAAGTTTATCAGTTCTGGGAGTCCTCTAGATACATTGCTTCCATAATGACAGGCTCAGAAATGTCTGCTGATCCATCATATTTATACATTGCAAAACAGAGAATCTTTAGGAAATCAAGAGAATTGTAAACTATCAAATATATCAAGGAATTATAATACTTTTTATTTTAAAACGATTTAATGCTAATGCAAATATTTTCTCATATGTAAGCATTACAAATCTATTCCTCCAAATTGATTGGATTTGGTTTGTTCCATCTCATGAGCAATACCTTGCATGATGTAGATATGAGAACTAATAAAGATGCACGCTGAAGACATACCGTCATGTTACACTTAACTGCATCAAGAAATAAATTATCATTACTGAGAAATAGACACTAAAGAAGTTGCCTCATCACAGGAAACAGATTGGCACATAGTAATAAAAGCTGGCAACACAATTGTCAGAAAACACCACATTATGTATCTGCAATATCAGTTCTTCGTAGTAAAATTATAGTAGAGATCAATTCTCATTCCTGCAGTACAAATGAAAGTCATCATGAAAGTCATCTATCAATCACTCATGCTCTCAAAAGAGAGTGATAATAATAAGAAACCAGTAATCATGTTAATAGGCTAGCTGCCCAAACTGTGGTGTACTTTCCAGAGTTCTGTACTTCTTTCTGAAGTACAGAGCTGATCTTCAGGGAGATAAAATGGGGGTAAGCAACTACTTCCTTCTCAATAAATATAGTTATAGGTGCTTATCTATAGCTACTGAACACGCAGCCCAAAATATGTGGTGTGCATGAAAAGTCAGAGTAGCTCCTTATTTATCAAGTGTGTTCAGATGTCATAAATTGTATGTTAAAAATTTAGTCAAAGACAAAGCACAAAACTTGGTCTCTGTAACATCTTGGGATGACAACATATGTCAAACTCAGGAGCAATTAATATGCACCCACACCCCCATTTCAAAAAGCCTCACCCACCCTGACCTGGATAGCACAAGCAAGTCCGATCTTGTCAGATCTCGGAAGCAAAGCAGGGCTGACCCTGGCAAGTACTTGGATGGGAGACTTCCAAAGAATACCAGGGCTGGGATGCAGAGGCAGGAAAAATCAAGCCCCATCTCTGAAACATCCAAGCCCACTAGGGGTCACCAGAAGCCAACCATGACTTCCAGACACACACAAAATACTCACCCCAACAAAAAGCCTCACTCAATTTTGCATTAAGCCTTCGAAATGCCCGTAACCATGGTGGGGCATTTGGGGGCGGAGCCCCACCACCTATGAGCCCTGCCCCACCCACAGAGGATGCCAGATCCCACCCCACCCCCAGTGTGCCTTGCCCCCAAAGCTACAGGGAGGCTGGGGAAGGAAAGGGAAGCCACCCTGCTGATTCTGGTCAGTTTCATTCTCCCCATCAGCTGTTAGGTTTAACAGCTGATCAACAGCTGATGGGAGGGGAGTGAAACTGACCAGAAGCGGCAGGGCGAACCTCCCCATGTCTGGGGGGGGGGCTGAGGAAGGAAAGAGAGAGGGAGCTGGCTGGACTCACAGTGGGGCTCACATTAATCATCACCCCACTCTAGTTCTTGGCAAAGGAACCTATAATTCCCATCATCCCTAGCATGTACATTGTCATTGTAAGAAAAATGGGCTCCAAAGGGGACTCTATTGTGGTTGAGAATCTCTCTCCCCCCCCTTTGCAAAAGTTTAGTTGCTTTGAAAAAGGAGGAAACAGCAAGAGAGGGGAGTAATGCAAATAGTGTTTTGTTTATTGTCTTTGTTGAGCACTGAAAAAATCCCTTGAACTTTTTTCAAGCCTTTGACAGGAATGCTCACAAGAAGCAGTTATGGGGAGACAAGCCCAGGGGGATTTGCCCATTGGTAATGTAGTAGTATCATGATTCAAACGCACAAGGATCTGGAATCTGGGGATTATAGGATATCACTGTGCAATTTTGATTAAACAAGGGAATTGTGGGGAGATCAAATACACCCAAGCAAGCAATGCTCTTTTATACGTATAGGCCAGAACATGTCAGGAGATATCCTAAGAGTTCCTGTAAAGGTCTTTGACTTACTTGCTTATCTGAGCCATTCTGTTGTTGCTGCTCCTTTCTACCTACAGACCCACCCTATAGTCCATTGCTACAAAGATACAACAGTGCTACAAGGTTACCTGCTTAGTAAGCTGCTCTTCACAAAGCTTATAAAGAACAAAGAATTTTTGAGCCAATATAACATTTTCAATAAAGCCACAGCTTGCAAGTTTAACTCTCATGATTATCTGAAATGGAATAGTACAATATTAAGAATTACATGAACATTTTGAGAAGTGATGTTTTTTAAAAAGCAAACGATGTTGTATAATAATTCCAAATTTAATGGATTTTCTACAACAGAATGATAAACTGTACCTGTCTATCTGGAACCATCATAGCAACAGTTCTAAATTGAATTTTCAGGTTTTCTGGCAGTTCCTGGCGTCCAGCATAACCTGGATTCTACAAAAAATAACAAAGGATTTACCAGAGTTTTATTCAGAGTATTTGAAGTAACTTGCATGTTTTAGTATTGTGAATTGTGAACATTTGGGGGGTATTTTTGTATATATGCATGTGTGTGTGCACACCTGGAAGTCATGGCGACCACTGGTGACTGACCGATACTGGGGCCATGGAGGATATTCAAAGAGGTGGCTGAATAAACCCTGCCCCTGGCTCCCGACTGCTGGTATTCCAAGGAGGTCTCCCATCCAAGTACTTGCCAGAGTCAACCCTGCTTAGCTTCCAAGATCTGATGAAATCGGGCATGCCTGGGCTATCCAGGTCATGGCAATTATTATCATTTATGAAGTCCATTTAATCCCTTAATCCAGTGGCATATATTTTTCAAAGTATCTGGAACTGTAGTCCAGGGACTCTCCCAGTATTCACTGCTGAGTCTCTGCTTCCGGTGGACTGCAGTCAAGAGTGGCTTTAGTGATTCTGGGGCCCTGGTCAAAAGTTCAGAATCGTTGCAACACAAATGGTTGTGGAAGGGAAAGGGCCATTGTTGCACACTCCCCCAGCATGAAGCCCAGAGCAGCTGCCCATGTTGCCTGTTGGCTAAGACCATCACTGGTTGAAGTGGGCAATGTTCCCAGATATAGACCTCCTGCTGTCTAAGAAAACGAAGAAAACTTTTGCCTCAATGCAAGAATAAGTTGCTGTTCAGCCCAGGCAAACCAACAAAAGATCTCAATATGTTATAGGTAACCAACCTCAGGAACTCACACTTTTTTTCCTCCAGCCCCTCTCCTTCCTATACAGCAAACTACCTTACCCCACTTAATCATGGTTAACCAGTTTGTTAGCATTAATATTAATCACAGGTTTCTGTTTAACTAGGCTTTGACATTATAGGCTGGACTGAGTTTCAAGTACTAGCTTTAAGGAATTCTGGTTAATGCTAGCTGTAGTTATCAATGGTCCCACTTAGCCCTATTTAAGGAGGGAGGGAGAATTTGTTTCAGGAAAGGGAAGGAATAAGCATTAACAGAGATTCTCAGTTATGTCTGCACTGGCCTACTTATTCCAGTTGGACAGGAGCCCAATGCTTCATTGTAAATATTCTGAAGCCATACACATAGTATAAATAATGAAAGCCCTTCTAAAAAAATACAGTCATACTGCAAGAATGGCCATTATCTTCACAAAACAAACCACTCACAAAAATGGCTTTATCTACTCTTAATATTCCTAGGACAGAAAAATGTGGCACACTTCTACCAAAATATCTGGATTTTGTTTTGGAAAAAAATATTATTAATTAATACTGATGAAATGTTAATAAATATAAATATGTTTGCAAATATATTGCTATGGTAGACATAATTAATCACACACATAATTTATTTTCAAGTACACCTTGTAACAGATATATGATTGATTGTCTCTTGTCAAGAATAGAGCATTTATAACCTTATCTTAATAACTTTACCATTGTCAGAAAAATTCCAAACTCTGGGTTTAAATCTACAACATCTCCATCGGAAAATATGAACTGCTTCTTCCTTTCTTTCCTTGCTGTCAAAATTATATAAATTTGTTGAGCTGCTACTGACAACACCGGTAATTCAATTCTGTTAAATTCATCAAAGCATCCCCAGGAACCAGACTGTGCAAGACCTAAAATGGGAAAAGAATTTTTTCTCCTGATTAAACCCATTCTTTTTCATTTTCCTATAATATTTGGACATCCTTTCCCCCCCAGGATAAGATTACGAGAAGAAACTCTAAACAGGCTGTTTCTGAGTACTGGATTGACTTTGGAGGAAAACGGTAGCAAATCATCCTCTAGCATACTCCTGGTGTTGTCCATGGTTAGCATATGTATAGCTAGACAGTTGTGTTATTCTCAAACACTTATAGGACACATTGCTGACCTGCTCCCAAACCTTTCACACTGAAAACCATAACCAGATCACCTTCCCCTAGGGCCAAAGCTTTAGAAGGCCTGTGTCAGAATACCTATGAATTATGATTGTTACATCCCACTACTTAGTTCAACACTGCATTGCGCATACTGGTATGTCCATGGGAGAGCATTACACTCTGCTGAGAATAATCTACTGGTGGTCCCTGGCCCTAAAGATATCTGGCTGTTCTCAACCAGAGTCAGCGCTTTTTCAGCCCTGGCTCTGACCTGGTGGAACTCTCTGCCTAATACCACCAGGGCCCTGCGGGACTTAATGCAGGGCCTGTGGTTGAGGACAGCAATGGTTGCATCATAGCCAGCACCCTCTTCCTTCCTTTTCTCTTTTAATTCTGCCATCTTCGCTTCAGCCCTCTCCTTACCTTTCTCCATGACAGCGACACAGTCCAGAGTAGGGTAACAAGGGAATGTTTGATGCCATCTGAGATGATGTAGCTGATTTTCAGTTTTTACTTTTATGTTTGTTTTTAACAGTTGTACATCACCTAGAGCCTTACATTGTAGGGAACAGGCGATTTATAAATTGAATATACAAATAATAAATGCAAAAATGGCCATTTGGAATATTTTATTTTTATTTATTTAAAACATTTCTGTGCCACCTTTCCACTCAATTCAGGATCCCAAGGCTGAAAACATTAAAGCATGAAAAGCATCTCTCTCTCAGGGTTGCCAGGTCTTCTCCTTGCTCCAGTGGAGGGATTGGGGGGGATTCTGGAGGTGGGCAGGGACACCACCAAACCCTGCCCCCGAGCGCAACCACCCACCCAGCCACCCCTCTCCCTCCCCTCCTGCCCAATTGACTGACTGGCAGGGACTATGTGGCTGAAAGTCTGTGACTGGTTCGAAATCACCCACTCAGCTTCCACAGCAAGAACCTGGGTCTGGCAGACCCTGCTCTGAAGTGCTAACTGCTATGTCACACTGGCTGTCATACAGTGGCCACCTCAGCAGGGTATAATGACACAGAGTCCACCATTTTCTCCAGGGGAACTGATTTCTGCCATCTGGAGAGCAGCTGTAATTCTGACTGATCTCCAGCCCTCACCTGGAGATGGGCAGCAATTGTTCCCCAGGAGGAAAAGTACAGTCTTTCTCCACAATGGAGGTTAAAGCAGCTTACATCATTCTCCTGTCCCCCTTTTGATCTGCCCTTTTCTTGTTTGGATTGTTGTTTTTTTCTCTCTGTGTTGTTTTTTTCTCTCTGTGTACTGTTAACCACTTTGGATCTTTCCAGGGAGAAAGGTAGAATATAATTATGCTAAATAATTATACTACATAAATAAATAAAATAAATAAACCTCCAGTTTTTCATCTGGACTGAAGTGCCTTGCTATATATGTTGCAGTTATGAAAAGTTCCCCCAATACTTATATAAATGATACTATACTATAATATTCTCCCTCTCTTATCTTATAAGCACAAGCACCAACGTTATGACCTTTTTAACAATGTACTCTCCCGCAGCCATGATAATAACCAGGCCATTACATTTCTAATTACAAAACAAGTATTATTTATATACCATTAAAGTTTAGTGAAGTGCAGCATCACTTCCAATATATTTTAATATCATGTTGCACTCATCTGCATTTTATGTAATGTTATAAATTATTATTATGTTTCTCACCTAACTCTACCATCAACATTTTCATCTTTTTATCTTATTGATTTCCCTCATATTTGATACAGGCAGGCCAATCCTATGCCAAATTTACTCAGAATTAATCCCATTCAATGGAAATTGATCCCAGGTGAATGTGCTTAGATTTGCTTCTTTAGACAATCTTTATATGGTAGTGCTATTGTAATACCCAGCTTGGGAGGACAGAGAAGTGAGAGCAGCTTACAGGAAGGAATAATTAGTGTGCTTTCAAATACACAGAAAGCCCAGTTGGGTTGTAAGGTAACAGCTCCTTTTCAATCAACATGATGAGTTGACAAAAGCAATCAATACATAAAATTCTTGCTAGCTTCGTCTCACTAAACTGATTTCCCAAAAGCTCCTTGTGACAAGCTGACATCCTTAACATTATTAGGTAATTTCAACTCCAGCAAGCCAGTCTCAAAAGAAAGAATGTTCTAGAGTACAACTTCATATTTTTAGAACTAAAACGCCACAAAATAAACCTTAATTCATTTCTCAGTACTGATGGACAGTCACATTATCACTTGTTTTAAATACCAGTTTCATTCAGGTTATAAGTTATTCATTTGAGAAATATTGAAAAGGAAAACACAAACACAATTTTGGAAGTAAAGCACTGTGTGATGTTTTTGGTTTATAATGCCTTGTGTACCTATTCTATGTATACATACCACATTCATACCCACATTTCATTTATATACACACTTGTAGTAGTGGTCTACTTCTCTGAGAGTCTGCGCCCCCTCTCAGCAACCAGACATTTCTTCCTATTCCTTTGCCCTTATGCTGGCAGTTCACTCTAAACAGAAGGAATGTGCACAATGCATCCCATCCCATCACACCACTAAAACTAAACTAAAAAGAGGGCCAATTTTTCTGACCTCCAGGGTTCCTGATATCCCAGCTAATCAGAAAATGGATAAAGAAATTCTGAAGACCGTATTTACCTCCTTCTTTTTTCTTTGACTTATTCTGTGCTTTAGTTTGATACCTCATTCATTCATTAGAATCAAGGTACATCCCTGGTAATTTGTTTGTGCTTGCTCTGACCTTGCCATTAACTACAGTTACTAATGCACATTTGTGGAGGTATGCTATACTGAATACTGTTCATTTCACGGTTCATGTTTTTAAAATGTCCATGACAAGCCAAGTCTTACCTTTGAAAATCCGGCCCAGTCCTCTGAAATCCATTTGATCTGAACAGTTAAACACTACCACATATTTCCCCAAAGCTTTTCCCATGTCTTTTGTGGTTTCTGTTTTACCAGTTCCAGCAGGTCCTGCTGGAGCTCCTCCCATGTTCATTCCTAGAGCCTGAGCCAATGTAATGTAGCATCTGTAAATGTAAATTCAGATCATTATAATATAAAACATTTAAATGTGAAATATATTTACATATCATTAATCCAACGACATTTGGTATTCCAATAATGTTCAAACTTTCATCAAGTGCAGAGGATGCATATATGTAAACCTTAAACCTGATCCTTGGGAAAATACTCAGAAGCAGCAATTAGAGATGGATGAGGCGCTCAGTTTGGAGTGCTCTGTATGGCTGTATTAGTCAATAAATTATTTGTTTCTTACCTGTCTGTTAAAGGTGTTATGACCAGACGATCGGTACATCCCAGAAATTCATTTTGATAAACAAAATCAACATCAGTAATAGATACCAATGTTTGATCCAGATCTTCCTTAAAATAAAACCTGCTCTGCTTTAACCATTCAAAATCAGTCACTGATCTGATATGCATTTTAACCTTAAAAAGAGAGGGGGGGGGGAATACCACATGAATAATTTCAAAAATGTATAGAAACAATGTACCACATGAATAATTCAAAAAATGTATAGATACAATGTATTGTGTATAGATGCAATGTATAGATACAATGTCTTATGCATGTTCTGGTAAATTTAAAAGAGGAAGGGATCACAGTTATTACTTTTAAACAGAGGCCTCCGACAGGTAGCTCACTGGTTACTACAGAGCAGCTTGTGTTCCCTTAGAAGACCCGGGGAAAGGTCACAAAATATTTGCTCTAGGCTTTTGATAAAAAGTGTTTCTGTCATAAGCTTTTTCTCTGTGTACATTAGCTGATAGCTTCACTGAGAGGGGGGCTTCTCCTAGTACATAACAAAACTTGATAAAATGCTAGGGGTGGTATTATGAGACATTTTTCAATATATATTTCAAACTGCCTGCAATACTTAGAAGAAGCAACTGCTCCATGCACTTTGAGGGAGAACAGTCTGTCTAAAGGTTTTTCTGAAGCCAAAAAACTACCGGTTTAAAATAAACTGGGGGAAGGGAAGGTTGTAATGACAAAGATTGTTACATTATTATTACAACCTTAGGGGTCTGCAATGATCTACCAATCAAAGAGACACAGGAACAGGTGTATTTCCCTTCTGGTTAACTGGCTGATTGGGACTTGTGACAATTCCATTGGTCAGATATGATAGATAGATGATAGATAGAAGTTTCAAAATTAATATTTATACTTTACCAAGTCATCAAATATATCACGCTGATGCACATGAATGGTAATAAGAGTTTCAAACTTCACTCTGTCAAACTTGGAAAGATCATGAGTAGTCTGGCCAATAAGAGTATTTAGAATATCCAAAAATTTCTGATTGGTTACTGACATGACTTTCCTGTCATCTTTTGCATTGGTCAAGGCTTCTTCTGAATCATGTGTCCATAGCATCTGAATTCCCAGCAACCCTACCTATAAATTTAACAAACAACTAATCAGAAATGCATATGAACATTTATAGTGCACTCCACTTTAGATAATGAATGGTCCAACAGCTCATAGTTTAAAACTATAATTTAGAGTGATTAACTGGAGTGATTAACAACTGAGTTTTTGCTATGATTTTCTTTTGTATGTAGAAAATAAATCAGGGAGTTTCAAAGGTAATTTTCTCTATCATACTCAGATACATTCATAACCAAATCTAGCTGTTCTATTACTGCATTCTGACAATGAAGTACAGACATCATTAATAATATAAAAATACCACTCTTCTGTAAATCCATTATAGCATAAATATGATCCTAGCCCCCCCCCATCCCAGATCCCGCTTCAAAAATACAAGGAAGCAATTTTGAGTGTTTGCCAGAAAGCTTCCGGTAAGCAGCTCTCCATTTTTTTGAATACTGTCTAAAATAACTTATAAAACCTAGATAAAATTTGACAGGCACATCAGCAGATGTTTATCAAGCTTCATCTGGTCCAGTGCCCCATCGTCCATTACAAGAAGACTGTACTTTCACAAATAAATGGATGACTCATCACTATAGGCTCTCTTACCAATACTTCAGGTATCAGAGCACATGAAATCACAGGAGCTGCATTTGTCACAACACTAATTTATAGGGCTGCTAACTCCAGGTTGGGAAATTCCTGGAGATTTGGGGATCAAGTCTGGGGAAGGTAGAGTATGGGGAGGGGAAGGACCTCAGCAGGGTATAATATGATACAGCAAACCACCCAAAGCATCCATCTTCTCCAGGGGAACTATCTCCATAGTATGGAGATCAGTCATAATGCCAGGAGATCTTCAGGTCCCACCTGAAGGCTGGCAATTCTGCTTCCATGGCTGTGATATTTTTTTAAGGTATTTCTTTTGTCATGCGAGAAAGTGCAGTCACTGCAATTGTTACGGCATCAAATAGCACAGGGAGAAACTGTAACTTCTGTTGACCACATTGTAATCTATTTCATATTGTCTTCTTAAACTAAAATCTTTTGGATTATTAGTACACAATATGTTGTTGAAGGCTTTCATGGCCAGAGTTCATCAGTTGTTGTAGACCTTCTGGGCTGTATGGCCGTGGTCTTGGCATTGTAGGACCTGACGTTTTGCCAGCAGCTGTGACTGGCATCCTCTGAGGATGCCAGTCACAGCTTCTGGCGCAAAGTCAGGTCCTACAATGCCAAGATCATGGCCATACAGCCTGGAAAATCTACAACAACTATTAGTACACACATAAATTGAAAAAATGTACCACTTGGTTGTTCTGATATATGTTCTAATACAAATTATTTAATTGGCCTTTCCCCTCTTTCTTTCTCTCATCTTTAGCAATTACATCACAGAAAAGGTATGTTGGTCACCAAGCATACACTAATCTTCATCTGAAAACAATTATCTTGAATACAATCTAGCCAGTAATAAGCAATTGATTTAACTGGTAATCAAGAGAATTTAAAAGTGACTGTATGTAAATGTGTAGGGCTCAGTGCAGAAAAGTGTGCACACATCAAGTGTTTTGTTCATTTTTCAGCCTGCAGGCCCATCTCTGTCTTGCCATTACAATTATACTACAGACTGCTTTTGAATGTCTCACCTGTGCTGGAAAATGGTAAAGGAAGTTCAGCAGCTGGTACCCTGGATCACTAATCTGATAGAATGCTGCTCGAATTACACAGTGTAATGAAGACTGTTGCATTCTCAACAGATCCATCAGCCAGAGTTCTACAGGTCCCTTTGCATTTACTGGAGCGTCTAGCTAAAAATTAAATTTGTGTTAATCATAAAAATCAGTTTATAGGTTTAAAAAACTAATATGTTTAATACCACTATATAATTGTGGAGGAGAACAACCAGAATACATATTAAAAGCTAGTTAAATAAAGCAAATCAAAATAGATTAGAACTGCACCTCACACTATCTTCTCAATGGCTACCACAGCTAGCTGAATTTTAATTTTTTTTATACCATTCTACCTGCAAGGAGATCAAATCACTCAATCCTAAAAGAAATCAACCCTGACTATTTCCTGGAAGGCCAGATACTGAAGCTGAAGCTCAAATACTTTAGCCACCAAATGAGAAGGGAGCACTCACTGGAGAAAACCCTAATACTTGGAAAGACTGAAGGTAACAGAAGAAGGGGACGGCAAAGGATGAGATGCTATTGATGCAACAAACATGAAATTAAGCAAACTTTGGAGGATGACAGAAGACAGGAGGGCCTAACGTGATGTGGTCCATAGGGTCACGAAGAGTCGGACTTGACTGTGGGACTGAACAACAAAAACCTTCAGAAGATTCCCATACTCAGACTTTGGAGAACCTCTAGGGGACTTATTTTTAGTCAATTACAGCATCTTATCCTCTATCCTGTGATGCAAGGCAATAGAATTTCTTTTTGACTTAGTCAATTTTCTTGGGGGGAGCAAAAAAAGGGACTTACGTTAAAATTCAATACAAAATTAGATTATAAATTTAAGATATTACATGAATCTTTTCTCCTTCTCTTGATATGACTGCAGTTATGCGATCATAATCCTTGGGATGAAATTCCACTTCATTTATGTTGTCTGACAAACCAGGCAGATGTGGCTGAAAGAAAAAAAACCCCAGCAGAAATGTCTAGACAGAACATTTTCACAAACAGGCTCAAATTCTTTAAAGAGTGTGAAATCAGAATTTAAGAACCAAAACAGTGCAGATCATACAGATGATCTGATCTCAGCTGAATACCCATCATGGGAAGTCACCAGATTTGTAATAATCATCAGTATGTATCACAGGTCAAGAGTCAATCAAATTTTGTCTGAACGAAAAGGGAAGGTGAGACCGAAAGGGGGGGGGGAAACCAACCCTATACAGGAAAGGTAACCAAAAAGATTTGGGGGGGGAGACAATAAACGAATATGGCTAAACATCCAGTGCTAATATAAAAATATAAAATATATTTTAATTATGCCTAGGAAATATTAAAATCACAATAAAAGCACATATGGCTCTGTATATACCTATACCTAATATCAGGACAAATGTCAGAATATATAAATATGGGATAAAAGGTGCAAAATAGATCCAAATACAGGAACCAAAAATAACTTCCTTATGGGTATGGAGCCTTTTTAACATAATCTGTTCCAGTGTAGTTAAATTGTGCCACAGGGTAAACCTTGAAATCTCAAGTTCTTTAATTTACTCCTCTACAAGCTCCTGGAAAACCAGTACTCTCAGATTTTTTGTGTGTGTGGGGGGGTTAAAAGTAGACCTACAAAAAAAGGGGAAGAGAAACTAAACCAACCAAGCAGGAGCCGAAACCTCAAAGGAAGTTTAGAAAACTAGTAAGGGGCCAATAGATAAAAATATCAATAAATATATACAAAAGTACATGTGCTTATTTCAAAAACAGTTAAAACCATGTAGAGGCCCAAATAAAGCCTCATAATGTAATCAAAATGACAAATGCACAAAAAGAATCACATATGGGAGAAAGTAATATTGGCAATATGTACATTCCACTTTAGGTTCTAAGATTACAAGTCCAATCACCTTATCATGGCCAATGATGAAGTTACACTGGACCTGATAAGGTGATTGTAGTTGTAATCTTAGGACCTAAACTGAAAGGTACATATTGGCAATATTATGTTCTCCAATATATGTGGCCTCACAGAGAGATTTTCTGGACAAGGATTTAAATTTTTTTTTAGCAGACCAGAGCCCAGCAATAACACTATCTGTCGCTGAATTTTTGACCTACGTATGGAAATCAAGAGTAATACTCTGTAATTCTTGTAAATCATGTTAGGATTGTCTTGTATTTTGGAATATCGGGAATATTGGTTGATGTTGTTCTTGTACTACCCCTTAAACGTCTCCTTGCCTGGTTTACTTATGTTATGCCAATAAAGGTTTCTGTTCTGTATGTGGCCTCACATGTTTTTTTTGTGTCATTCAATTCCAGATTGAAACATTCCTGTTTGGGTCCTATATCAATTGTTGACTGCCTTACAAGTGTAAAAACAGGTTGCTTATCTGTAATTGATGATCTTCGAGTGGTCATCTGTGCAGTACCACACATGGGTTGGGCGCCTGCGCACGACCTCGACCGGAGAAACTTCTAGAGCTTTGCCTCAGAAACCTTTTGGTGGGCTCTCTTCCCACCCTGGGGAACAGGCATGTACTACGCATGCCTGGAGTGGGGGAGAGAGCCGCCTCCCACTCAGTTCCTTCGACCGCTACCGGTAAGTCCTATCAAGCCAAAGAAAGGTGAACAGGAGATGCCAGAAGTCGGGAAGGCTGGGTGGGATTGTGGTACTGCACAGATGACCACTCCAAGATCATCAGTTACAGGTAAGCAACCTGTTTATCTTCATCGTGGTCTCTGTGCAGTCCCACACATGGGTGATTACAAGAGCTGAACCAGTTGGAGGAGGGAGCTGGCAGCTGCAAAAAACACAAAGAATACTGGTTAAGACACAGCGTCATCAGTGAGAAAAAGCACCCAAGGGTCCTACCTGGGGACGCAGCAGGGTCAAGCGAAGAGAGATTGCAGCAGCGACTGGCCGAATGCAGAATCCCGTCGAGCTTCGATGTCAAGTGCGTAGGGGGTCACGAAGGTCGATGCTGAGGACCACGTAGCAGCCGCACAGATGTCCTCTAGCAGAACACCAGCCAGGAAAGTGGTGGATGTTGATACCGCCCGTGTGGAATGGGCAGTGACACAGGTAGGAACGGGTTGACATGCAAGCTCATAGCAAAAGACTATGGTGGAAGTCACCCATTTAGACAAGCGTTGAGAGGAAATTAGCTCCCCCACATGAGGGGGGCCATAGGCAAGGAACAGCCGAGGAGATTTACATATAGGCTGAGTCATATGTAAATAAAAAGAGAGTGCTCTGCGCACACAGAGGCAGTGGAGGGCCCTCTGAGGAGCATCAGTCAGATTCAGAAAGAAAGAAGGGAAGACAGACGACTGGGACAGGTGAAAAGCAGAAACGACTTTAGGCAGGAAAGAAGGATCTGGTCTAAGGACAACCTTCTCCCTATGAAAAATTGTATAGGGGGGATCAGCCCGAAACGCAGCTAGTTCCCCTACTCTACATGCAGTAGTAATCGCTATAAGGAACACCGTCTTCCAGGAGAGCAACCTGAGATCGACTGTAGCCATGGGCTCGAACGGCTTGGACATAAGTTGAGTGAGAACGAGTGACAGACTCCACGAAGGCACCAAAGACTTCCTAGGGGGACAGAGCCGGAGGAGACCTTTAAGGAACGACTTTGTAAGATGGTGGGAAAAGACTGTGGATCGCTGTATCAAGGGATGGTAGGTGGAGATGGATGCTAAATGGACCTTTAACAACGAGTATGCAAGGCCATTATTTTTTTAATGAGACGATGTAGGAAAAAATCTCATGGAGAGACGACTGGATGGGATCGAAGGAATGATCAGAGGCATATGACTGGAACCTCTTCTACTTCAAATGGTAAGGTGCACGGGTAGAGGGCTTCCTGGCATTCAGGAGGACTTCAGACACTTCAGGCGGGAAGTCTAGTGCAGGATCTTACAGGCCGTCAATTTGAAGAAGCCTGGATCAGGGTGCAGGATCCTTCCTTGAGCCCAAGAGTGGAGATCGGGGATGACAGGCAGCAGCCGGAACGTCTGGTTGGAGAGATGAAGGAGGTACGGAAACCAGACTTGGTGCAGCCACCATGGAGTGACAAGGATGCACAATGTGGCATCAGCCACAATCTTCTGAATGGCACGGGAGATCAAGGGGAATAGAGGGAAGAAGTAGAATAGGGTTCCAGGTGTGGAGAAAGGCATCTCCCAGCAACTGAACAGATGGCAGACTGCGGCTGAAAAAGAGGCGATACCGGGCATTGTCTGCAGTTGCAAAGCCGTCGACTACAGGGCGATTGAGCTCGAGAAAGACAGGTTTCAGGTATCGAAGGGGGATGGACCATTCATTGTCTGACGAGCGGGAGCAGCTCAATTGATCGGCATCGATGTTTTGAACGCCCGGAATGTGTATCGCGGAGAGCGTGATGGAATGACGGAAGCACCAGCTCCAGAGATCGATGGCTGACTGGCAAAGACGAAGGGAGGTAGTCCTGCCCTGCTTGTTTGTGTACTAAACGGTGGTAGTGTTGTCGGGGGCAACCCAAACAACTCGGCCTTGAAGCACCCGGAGGAAAGAGCAGAGAGCGAGATGAACCACACGCAGTTCCAGGACACTGATATGAAGGGTGGCCTTGTTATGCGACCAGGTCCCCTGTGCAGAAAGGATTCCACACTGGGCTCCCCAACCCCAGAGGGATGTGTCGGTGGAGATCAACACCTGTGGAGGAGGATGCCGAAAGGGCATGCCGGACAGCAGGTGCTGAGGATGAGACCACCAGGCAAGGGAGTAGACGACAAGGGGTAGGAGTGACAGGATTTTGTGCCATGGACCATGGAAAGGGTCGAAGGCATGGAGAAACCACAGTTGGAGGGAATGCATCCTCAACCTGGCCTGATGGACGATGAAGACAGTAGATGCAAAGTGCCCCAGGAGCCTCATGACGGACCGAGCAGACTGCCGGGGAGAGGTCTGGAACTATGAGACCAACAAGAGTATGTCAGAGGCCCTTGAGTTCAGGAGAAATGCGATTTTGAGATCGGTATCGAGCCGGGCACCCAGAAATTGAAGGACCTGGACAGGTCGGAGAGATGACTTGGGTAGGTTGACACAAAGCCCGAGGGCCCGAAGGAGAGACAGGGTCGTTTGGACATCTTGGAGGAGCTGGTCTTGCATGGCGGCCACGAGAAGCCAGTTGTCTATATAGGGATACAGGACAATCCCATGACGATGGAGGTCTGCAGCCACCACAGCCATCAGCTTGGTAAAAACCTTTGAGGCAGTGCAGAGTCCAAACGGGAGGACCCGGTTTTGGTAGTGTGCGTTGCCAACAGAAAAATGCAGGAACTTTCAATGTTGGGTATGGATAGTGACGTGAAAATACGCGTCCTGGAGATCGACAGATGCTAGCCATACAGCCTTGGGAATCAGTGGAAGAATGGACTGTAAGGTGACCATTCGGAACTTTTGGCATCGAACATATCGATTCAGATCCCGAAGATCCATAATGGCCCTGAAGCCGCCATCCCTCTTCGGTACGAGGAAATACTTGGTGTAGAAGCCTAGGGTTCGTTGCGCCTCCGGGACAACCTCGATGGCGCCCTTGGCCAGAAGCATGGAAATCTCGAGATGGAGGAGAGGATCCGGGGGGGGGTGATGACAAAGTGAGGTAGGTCGGGAGCAATGTTCCCTCTAAGCTGTAGAGTCCTGTGAGCAAAAATTCTACTTTGTGAGCTACCGGCATTAAAGTTGTGAGCAGGTGATTTGGCTACTGCATAAATTAGTGTGTTCTGGAGCCATCCTTCCTGAGCTGAGACAAAAATGTGTGAGCCGGAGGCTAAAAAACTGTGAGCTAGCTCACACTAACTCAGCTTAGAGGGAACACTGGTCGGGAGGTGAAAGGAACTATATGGTGTACCTGACCCGTAGAATGGTAAAGACCCAGGAGTCGGTGGAAATTCCTTCCCACGTTGGCAGAAAGGGGAAGAGTTGGGTCCGGACAGGAGGGGTGTACGACGGAGGAGATGGCAGGCGATCAAAGTGGTCAAACGGACTGCTTGGGCTGCTGGGTTTTTTTAGGAGCCTGTTGGTGTGCCCTATTTGAGTGACAGGAATCATAGGGCCTTTTTTTCCATTGGGAGGTAGGTGCTGAAGATGGCTGGTGCCTTGCATAACAGGGCTTCTAAGAACAGTACCGATGTCGATGCATCGAGGTTGAGACACCCAGGTTCCAAGCCTGCTTCCGACTATCATCAATGGCTTTCAAGGCCCCATCAGTGGTGAAGTGGAAGAGACCCTCGCCATCGAACATCAGGCTGTAAAGAGGTACCTCTTAGCCAAGCGTGATGATGGAGAGCGATGGAGGAGACAAGGACCTTTGAGGAGCAAGTGACAGCATGACGGTCTGAATTGATCTGCTGTTTTGAGATCATACAAATTTCTTACAAACCCCCTGACAACGAGGGACGGTGTTCCTCAGGAACAAACTCCAAGTCAGGACGTACTGCATTAGCCACATTAAAAGCATAAGCCAACAGGTATGACAGGTAGGTCTCAATACAAAGGTTCATAGAGGCAAAGGAATACATCTTCTTCACGATAACATCAATCTTGTGACCCTCTTGATCAGGAGGCGTCAAGTGGCAGGCAGCTTGCTTCGATTTCGAGGAAGAATGTACCACCATCGAATTTGGCGAAGCCTGACTGAAGAGAAACTTCCCCGAGTTCTCTTGGACTTTATAGAGAGCTTCGTATCATCTGGAGACCGAGGTAATCGAAGCCGGATGGACCCACGACTCTTTAAGGGCAGAAAGGTGGACCGGCAGCAGAGGCAGGACTGTAGAAGGCAGGAGTTTGGCCTGAACCAGTTTGTGAACAACATTGGTCACAGCAGGGGACTCAGTGGAACCCTGGACTTGAAGCACAAAGGCCATCCTGGTCACCAGTTCCAAATAAGCTTTTGGGCCCTCAGTGGGGGAAATAAAACCCGAGCGCAGAGGCTCATCGTCGATGTGTGGAACATCGAGTTCTAGGTCTCCCAAGTCCAAGTTGTCAGAGATTGACATTGGAGAAGCCGATCTTAGCAGTTGTGTGAGATCAGCCGGTATCTGGTCATCAGCAAGGGGATGAAGTTGAGGTTCTGAGGGAGAACACTTCGGGGCATCCCTAGGTCTCGAGAGCTCAGGAGGCTGGTCAGGAGCCACAGAATGGGTCGAAGTCACGGATCAAGAACATCTGGCGTGATACGGAATATGTCGATGCTCAGTACGTTCAGAGTGACGTAGCTGATCATAGTGGTGCCGCTGAGGAGTAGGAGACCTCGATTAGTAGTAAGGATAATACGCAGGCCGATGTAGTTCATCAGGAGACCAGTATTGGTCATCAGAAGGCGATCCCGAGGGGGAAGGCGACGATCGACAAAAGAGACGCTTTCGATCATATCAAGAGTGAGTTCGAGAACGGCGGCCGACAGAATGCTCCCTGCCCTCCAAATCGTGGATCGGGGTACGAGAGTGTGGAGACGGAGATCGAGAGTCCCGGTGAGACAACAAGTCGGGAGGCAATCTCGTGGACTGACCCAACGGAATAAGGCCCGACGCTGAAGAGAGCGTAGGCAGTGGTGTCAGAGGCCGCAAAGTGGACTTGTGGGACACAACAGTCACAGCAGGAGTCGATGACGACTGGATAGACAGCCAAAGTCGAAGCCAATGTTGAGGGCTTGACTTTCGATTTTGACGAAGCCTTATCCTTAGGCCATTTAGGTTTTAGCTTTTTGGTGCCTTCGGAGCCCCATCTGATCTTTGAGGGACAGAGGAAAGAGAAGTGGACGAAGACATCGTAGGGTGCAAAGCTGCATCTAAAAGGACAGCCCTAAGCCAAGCCTCCCTATTACATCTAGTTTGCCTAGTAAAACTAGTGCAATGGACGCAGCTATCGACCCTATGGGATTCCCCCAGACAAAGAAGGCAAAAATCGTGACTGTCGTTTGAAGGTATCTTAGCTGGGCAACTACGACACACTTTTAAAAACTTTGTTTTGCCCATACTCTCTCTTCCCCACCCTCCAAATGGGGGGGGGGAGAGAAAGAAAGAAAGTGAAGAAAAAAGGTCTGGTTTTTTTGTTTTGTTTTTTAGAAATAAAGGGGAAAGAAGAGCGAAGCAAAGAAACAAAGACTGAGGAAGGCAGACGAACAAATATACTCAGCTGAGGCAAAATACGGAGAGCAACAGGAATGAGGTGTGAACTCGCAGGCAGTCAAAAAAGAACCGAGTGGGAGGCAGCTCTCCCCCCCCCCCCCCCCCCCCCAGCGGCCGAGGGGGGGGCCTGCTCCCCAGGGCAGGAAGAGAGCCCGCCAAAAGGTTTCTGAGGCAAAGCTCTAGAGGTTTCTCCAGTTGAGGTTGTGCGCAGGCACCCAGCCCATGTGTGGGACTGCACAGAGACCACGACGAAAATCAGGGGCTTTGTTTTATGTTGTACTCTGTACTATTTGATCTCTGCAGAAGGCCCTTTTGGGCCTAAACACGTCAGGTCTTATATGGTTCCTTTTGTGAATTTGATTACATTATGAGGCTGTACTTAGGCCCCTACAAGGTTTTTAACTTTTTAAAAAATAAACACGTGTGTACTTTCGTCTATACTTATTGATGATTTTAACTTTTGGCCCCTTACTAGTTGTCTAAACTTCCTTTGGAAGATCCAACATATTTTGAGGCATCATCAGCTGTGTTCCTATCTTTGAAAAAATCAGCAAGTCTGATCTTTTGAAACGTGTTGTATTTCAGACATCAATCTAAAAGGATCCTGATGGGGTGGAGGGACAAAAGAAAAGTCCTTTAACAAACACAATCATTCTATTTCAGAGAAGTTATTATTTGAAATATTGAGTACTTGTGGGTTCTTAAAGTTTTGTTTGTGCCCCATTCTGGGCTCCTTTATTCTCTGTCCCTTGCCTGGTTTCCCTAAAAAATTACTTGAGTTCCTCCCATAAGAAAAATGCATAGATCCAGTGGATGAAGAATTATACGAGTCACCTGAAGTTCTTCCCTCTAAAGCAGTGCTTCTACTGTTATCTGGACTAGTATCAATTGTTGTGTCAAAAGACACTAATTTCCTACTAGGAATACTCTGTTTATTTAAGGACCTATTATGTGCCTTATTTTCTTCATAATCATTGAGATCTATTTGAAACATTATAAATGTTGTTCCTTCAGTTGTAAAAATTGTTTTTCTATCTCTTTATCTAACAAGGTGCTTTCCCCATGAACCCAGTCTCTCCTGTTGTTCCTTGGATCTTATCCTTAAATTGTTGTATTTCTTGCTCCAATTTAGAGCTCTCTACTGCTGCTGTTGCTATCAGTAAGACCATAAGAGTCAAAGAACATTTGTTCAAAATGGCATACCACCTATCTTTAAATATTTTTATATTAGCACTGCGTGTTTAGCCATATTTGATCATTGTCTTTTCTCTCAACCTTTTTGGTTATACCTTTGAATGAAAAGGGAATCCAGTGTGGACCCAAAATAATTCAGGAGTTAATTCACAAGTTTTCCTTGAATCCCTCCTAAATATAGTTCTAATGAGATAAAATATCTATTGTCAAGGGAGATTTAACCTTTGTCCTTTAGCTAAAATAACTAACTCCGACCCCCTTTCCATCTAACCCCTTTTCTACAGTGCCTTTTTAAAGTGGTTATGGCATCCAAAACCTGCTTGCTAACTGGAGTTTTTTCGAAAGATTTTAGTTCCCCATTACAGATTAAAAACAAAACAAGCAAAGCAGAACACTAGGTATGTATACAACTAAAATCTTTTTTATTTTAAAATAGTGATTTTATTGGAGTAAAAAAAATTAGTTTTATATTACAAGATCATCTTGGAAAGACATTTACTAATGCACTCAAATGATAAAAATTAGAAATTAACTCTGATTATCTGTGTCTTTCATACCTTTATTTCTACTGATTTCATCTTTGTTCTTCATTTCGTACACATAATTTTGCAGATGTACCACTTGGAACATACCTGAATAGTGTGTGAATCACTAGCTTGTCCAAGTATCTCTAGAAGAGCAGGGTCAGAGATAAAAAAGAATCTGGGAAACAGCAATCTTTTCTTTTCCAAATACCTTTAATAAAAAGAAAGATTTAAGAGAAACAAATATTTCCCCATTTTAAAATGTATGTATTTTAATCACACTAAGGCTGCAATGCCTTACAGAGGCTTGGGAGCCAGATGTGGCTCTTCTAAGCACCATTCCCCAATATGGCACTCATCCTACATTTCAGGAATGCAGATAAGACTCTTATATGGTGAGGACTATGGTTGGCATTAGTTCCCACCTTGAAACACTGCTGCCTGAGGAACCTCCCTGTTGCCAGAGCCTCCCTGTTGTGGGATGAGCGGCAGATGGGCAAGATATGCTGTGACAGTTATTGTAATGGAAGAATACACTGGTGTCCCTGTAGCAGGCACTGTATGGAAAAGGTGCACTCCTGTGGATAGAGCACCATTTACAACCTAAAGGGAAAACATGCTAACTGTTTGATGAGCTAGGGCTTCTTGACTGGAAGGTCAATATTCTGGCAGGCGAGCTCCAGGAGCTGGCATCCAGATTGGCTAAGTCCCTCAGAGTCCACATGGGGAGGGGTCTGAAATGGGAACCCATTCCTTTGTTTGGGGTCTGTCTTTTCTGGAAGATTAGCACTTGCTGGTGCATGTGTTTGCTTGCAATGACTGATGATAGAGGCAAATTATGCTAAAGGATACTTACAGGTGCACTGGGGGACATCATGCAACTTATAAAGACCAGATATGCCATGGACAGTTAAGTACCTAGTTAGTAACTTTTGTTTTCTTTATTTTCCTAGATGTACCTAGAGCCTGTCTTGTAGCTACCCTAAGTTTGTGCCTTGTAGAAATAAAGTTGTTTAACTAAAGAATCTGCACACTTCCTTACCCATCTGCCTTGCCACCCGGCATACTAAAGAAATACACTCTGTGCTGTTGACTTCAGGCGACACCATGAGAGAAGGGGCTGATTTTTACCCATGGTGGCATACTGTCAGAAAAGGAGGGGCTGCCCCTGCTTCTTGAATGGACTGTGAGCTGGCAGGGGAAGACAGGGGAGAAAGTGCCCTCACATTTACCGGCCAATAAGGCAGTCCCCACCACACTCCCTAAGGTGCCTGCCCCACACTAGGGATGGAAGTAAATGTGACTTATTTGGTTAATGGTAATTGTGAATGTGGCTCTTCACAATCCACGGAGTGAGTACCGCCACTAAACCTGATTAACCAGATTTTTTTTCAAGTAAACATAAGCTGTAATTGCCCAGATTTATGCAATACAGAGCACATGGCTGCAAACTGGATTTTCTTGGATGGAGTTAGGCTCCCCCCTTGAAAAGCCAGGTTTGTAGTTTAGGAGTGCTGCTGGACATAGTGGTCACCTTTGAAAATAAGGTGGTTTCTGTGCTTTGGAGTGCTTTTGCCCAGCTTCAGTAGGTGCACCAGTTGTGCCTGTTCATAGCTTAGTCTGATCTAGCCACAGTGATCCATACCTTAGTTACATCTAGATTGGACTTCTGCAATGTGCTCTACTTGGGGCTACCCTCGAAGAGTGTTCCAAGGCTGCAGCTAGTGCAGAATGCCACAGCTAGACTCCTGGTTGGGGTCAGCTACCAGGATCATGTGACTATAATACTATAGCAATTACACTGGCTTGTGAACTGCTTCTGAGCCCAAGTCAAGTGGTTGATTTTAAAGCCCTACATAGCCTCAGATTGGGTATCTGAAGGACCATCTTCTCCCATATGCTCCTGCCCAGGAACTAAGATCATAGGGAGAGGCCCTCTTGACTGTCCCATCAATCAAAGAAGATAGTCTGGTGGGTACATAAGAGAGGGCCTTTTCAGTGGCATACCTGGGAAGAATTTTTTTAAAAATACAGCTTCATGTACTCAGTGGAAGTTGATACAAGAAGTGACAAAGGGTAGTTCTAGGAATCACCAGAAACTGCACAGTAAAACTCAGAAGTAAAACCATAGAGTTCCCGGTGATTCCTAGAGCTACCCCTGTCACTTCGAGCAACAGCAGACATGACCTGGGGGCAGAGGAGCTCCTGCTCACACTTACCAGCCCTAGAGGGGAAGCAGCCTCTGACCTGCTGCCACTGCCCCGCCCCACCCCACTGCCCATCCCCAACTCAAGAGGCTGCTGATGCTCCTTCCCCTCTGGTTCTCCAAGGCACAAGTATTTGGGAAGGTCTTTTGAGCACGTGTGACTTGTGGTGCTATCTTCTGAAACACCTGAGGAATCAGACAGAAAGATGTTTTAGCTGCTCTGAGCAGTGGTGCAGACAGTGAGAAGTGGTGTGGTGCACAGAAAGTGACAGATGGGGGTAACAGGGTGGAGTGGAAAGCATTGAGAAGTAGGAGGTGGCAGCTGTAAGGAGGGTATCTAGGGTTGCTAGGCATGGCCTAGGCATGGCCTAGGCATGGCCTAGCAACTGGCAGGAGATGGGTGATGTGTACTTACTATAGGGGGTGATCTTCATCAGCGTGTGATGAAGTAACTGCTGTGTGATGAAGTAACTGCGTGTGATGAAGTAACTGCTGGTGCAACCTGAAAGTGCTGGCATTGCATCAGGGAGATGCCTCAAAACTCTATGGTTCCCATAGAATTTCTGGGCAAGTGCTAGAGTGTTGTCCCAGTGTGATGCCAGTCTGGTTCGCACCAGAAGTGTCATCATCACATGGTGACAAAGATCACCGCCCCCTCATTTTTGCCAGTCTGCTTCCACCCACTAACCAGATCACTGTCAGTGGCATTGGAAAGAATTGCTGGGAGTTTGCCTGCTATTAGCATTAGCGAGCACCTTGCAAGCCTAATGGTGGCTACACGCAGCAGCCTCAGGATTAGGGTACCAGGTCAGTGTTAAATGATCCTGATTAAGAAGTCTAGATTTACAATTTATATTGGGCCCATCCAATGACACTAGTCTATGTGACAGTTTATAGTTAAACATTTGTCTTGCCGGTTAGAGAAAATCATATGGAGCTGTAGCCCAAATTCTTCCTGTTCCTTCTAAAACAATTTGTAACTGAAAACCAGAAGTAGTAAAAAATTAACCATGGATTTGTGAAAGCCTAGATTTATTGCAAATAAATATTCCTTCTTTTTCTGCCAAATGTTATTTGTACACTGAGCAATAAGCTAACCTTGGCAATTGAATAAGTATCTGAAGTGAATTACTATCTTTAAAAATATGCAAGACATCTACAGATTCAGAAAACACAGCCATATTTCTTTTTTTTTTTGCAGATTAAAAATACTCAGTTTTGATTATTATTAATGAATATTTAAACAATTTTAAAACCATATTTACATACACGGGCCTAAACTTATAATATTAATCCACATGACAAGACAGAGGTAATGCTGTTTGGGAAGCATAAGGTCTTCAAGGACATTGTTGTTCTCACTTTCAGTGGAGTACAACTGACCCTTGCTGACTCAGTTAAGAGCCTAGGAGTTCCGGTCGAGCTAAGATGGAGGATTAACGCAACCCGTAACTCTGCGGGGTGAGCGACGGCTTCTTCTGACAGCTTGGGCTGTTTATAGCCCAACGCAGCACTCCCCAGAGCGGGGGGGGGTGACAAGTATGCAGCGGTGCCCAAGCAGAAGTTGAGATAGGAGTGATTAGGTCCCAGAGGGGGCATATTTCACTCCTTGAACTCCTACGAAGCAGGCGAATGCAGAACATCTCTACAGAAGCCGATCGAGCTGGAATACCAGCATAAATTCTTCGTCAGCCTATCTCTTGGGAAAGGAGAACAGTGAGTTTGCAAAAAGAAGCAATGCGTACCCCAGTATAAACGCGCTAGATAACAAAAACTGCAAACGCTTACCGTCTGGAGGTGTTGAACTTTTTTGAGCTTAGCGGTTAAGCGGATAACAAGATTAACATCCCGGTTCTTTGTTTTTGGAAGAAAAAAGATTGGAAATAATCCTTTAAAAGCTAAAAAAATAACATTGTTATGCATTCCTGTGGTGAGCAAAAACGAAACTGACGAAAGCTATCGCGTGCACTGTATGCTTGTGGTTACTCTGAAAAGCTTCCGACAGGAAGAGGACCATCAATACATCGCCTAGAGAGGCCTGGTGAGTTGCAAGGGGACCGGAAGAAGATCGGGGGACATTAAAGAGAGGTACCGGAAATCTGAAGAAGTGAAAAGACGGGACAGAAACAGCAGGACTTTGCGCCTGACATTTTGAGGAGGATTTGAACTTTAACTTGCTTTTTTAAGTACTAAAATCAAAGGGGAAAGGGCGAAAAAGGTGGAGATCTGTTCAACTTCATGTACTTGTCAGGCTGATGAGACTGGTTCTTTGATTTAAAACCAGTTTAACACACGGCAAAATGGAGGCGAGGAAAGGGAAAATAGACTTTTTTTTAAGAACAAGAGCAGCTTCGGATTTAAGTCCAAGAATGTCATCTAGAGACAAGGAGAAGGAGAAGGAA